TTATAATTTGATTCATCATTATATCTTTCTGTATTCGTCTGCACAATCAATCTTCGAGTTGTGTTGCCATTGGCGGCTTGATTTTATAATATGTATCTATATTTGAGGTAAATACCTATTCTAAAAGCGGACCAAATCATCACTTTCTGAGACATGAAATGTCCTCGCAATCATGCCGTGAGTTTTGCGAGTGTTGACTGAGAAGCAATTTACGGTTTGTGTTAGGGACAATGTCAATAACATTTAACATGATCCTTTATTGGGATTGAAAACACAATTTATGCAAATATCAGTATATCCCAAAGCTTTTGTGCTGACAAAAACATTTCAAACTTTTTGTAACATTTTGAAAAATGCTTAAAGGCCCCACCTTTGCGTTTTTACAAACGAAAACTCGCCAACAAAAGAAATGATTCCACAGTTTCTTGTATGCACATGAGACTTTAATTCATGAACTCATAATTTTCTTCTTTTTTGTTTGCTTGCTTGTTTATTTGTTGTTTTATTGTTTTTACAGCCAGATGAGCAGGTCAAAAAGAAAGCTTTGCAAATCTTGGATGGGCGAAAGCGCAAACACAAGAAACAAATTTCAAGCAGCGTTGCTGACAAAGTAGAAGACACTGTCGATGGACGATTAGACTTGCGCCAGGTGGAAGAATTGGATACTTCTTCAATCGGACAAAGAACTTCTACATTGCAGTCACAGCCTAGTCATGACGAGATTGACATAAATCAAAATCTTGAAGCAGAAACCACATTTGAACCACCACTCGTTTCGATGTCAGATATATTTACTTACACTGAAGGTAAAATTGCTTCGTCTAACGCAGCATCTGAGGAAGCGAGTCCATTCCGTAGCGTTTCTGACGATGCTGGAGACTACACCGACGACATATCGATTACCGGTCAATATTCGATCATGGATGTCTTCAGTACTGGCAAGCCAGAAATATTTCCTGTTGAAGAGGGTGAAGAATTGGGGACTTCTATTGTTGATATTATGATGCAATCTGGTGAGGAGGATGTAGCCACGCCCCTTACCTCGCCTAGTAGTTTGGTGACGTCACCTATTCGTCCGAGTCTGACTGGGAGAGAGTCTAATCTTTCAACTTTTTCGTTTGACTCGGTATTATCACCGGTGAGTGCTTTTTGGTTTGTAGTTTTTTTTTATTTCTTGGTATGTTTCTGTGTAGTCCATAGTTTTTTGTGCAGTCGCTCCTTTATATTGAAACTCAGAGTTTCGTGCCAGCACGGYAAGACGTAGACGAATAAAACAATAACGGTTCAGGCCAAGATAAACAAGTTTTAATCCAGGAATCAATGGAACATAGAATTTTGTAATTTTGTGGTATTCAGATTTTCCTTAAAAGTACCATGTGACGGCGTTACATGCAAAACGCCTATTGTCTATGTAAGGGTAGCTAGTATGCTTCGAGAGTCGGGGAAATGTAACACTTCAAACCCAGCCATAAAAGCTTTTTTTTTTTCAAAAGGATGGAGACTTGGACGATGTTGCTATAGAGTCACCTGGCATATGGTGTATGATCACGTGCTATGAACGTGATGTGTCACGTGGTGAGTTCCAAGTGGATAGGTCTGTCATCATTGTGGATGGTTCTAGTAACGCMTTTGATGTCACAAGGTAAAGTATTTCGCTTTCAAAAGATAAATGTGTCATACTAAATAAATGCTTTGAAGAAACGCACATTCGTTCCACATTTGGAAATCCTTCCTTATTTGGTTGTGTGTGATCACTCTGTTTGAGTGATTTTTACAGATTTCAGGGCTACTAAATGTCTACACCTTCAAGATATTTCTAGCGAAACAATATGTCGGACATACTCAATTTCACTTGGAGATGGACAAGGTCTCTAGCAAAAACCAAGGGAAGTCCCAAAGCACAGAGAATGTATAGCAATTATTTGATATGGAGCAACCCGCATTCAACATAGTGCGTTCGAACAAATAACTATTTGGCAGGTTCCGTCATGCATTGCACACATAAAAGAAGAGAAAAATAACCTCGATACTACACGATTAAATTGTTTAATGATCAAACGGTATTGTGGATTATCCGGTGACCGTACATTCCTCGATCAGAGGAGATTTTACTTTCTCTTTGCTTGATGTTTCCTCTTTATTTATGTAGTTGGTGCGTTTTCTTCATGGCATTTTTAAGTTTGCTGTGTTGAATTCCACAGAATTGGTATTGGATCCCTACCAATGAACCCATCGGATGTAAAGGTCGAGAAAACAAGGCGCTGTATAGGCAAGGTAAACTAGTTGTTGCCACAACGGACCATAACGCTCATTATTCAGTATAAACAGAAACAATTTGTATTGCGCAAAACCATCAGTCCTCTGAAGGTGACTGCAAGGCCTAATTTTTAGGAAAATTTTTTTTTTCTCATATGCACTTACCTAGTTTATTAACATCAAAGGGCATCAAGCTTACCATTGACGCTGAAGGGAATATGTGGGTAAAGCGATGTAGCAAGAACAACGTCTACGTCAAGGTGAGCATTCCATTCAATTGTGTGTCGGTTATTTGCACGATGGCAATTTAAGAGCAGATTTGGTATGACCATGAAAAAAAAACAAGGCAATTTCGTGTCGTGACCGTGTCGTGGCCTGGATGTGATGTGTTTTTAAATCACTTTTTCATTTTGCATCGATATCAGGCAAGTTTCCGTGATCGTGCATGTCGAGTCCGTGCCGAGTTCCGTGCCTTTGCACAGTCACACCAGTCACCAGTCTATAAACAGAATTTGYCAGTCTTAATTTTATTCAYCTTTTTCTTAATTTTGGAGTTAACTTAATTGGGTACGATTACATTACAACATTGTCGTAAGGATCACATTCCTAATAATCTGCTCGTTCATTTGCTGGGCTATTYCCTGTTCAATTTCCAATCCATTTAACATTTTTATCCAATGGTTTCACAGGGCAACTTCTTGTCTCCAGAAGTCAAGGATTCTAGTGGAGAATTGCCAAAAGGAAAACTTGTCAAGGTATATGGATAAGTCAGTAYTGTCGTGTTTATCTCTGTCCAATTATTTTCWTAATATCCACATATTATTCCKAAMTGTTCAATTCSRAAAWWATT